ACAAGTTTTTGGGTAACATATGACTCTGGGAGCCTAAAAATTAATTTTCTGTCCGTCGTCGCTACTTCCGGTCAAACCGGAAGTAGTAGAATTTAGCTTATTTTTGCATTAATTAACTTAGCTTTAGAGGATTCAAAGCATTTTTGGGTGTTAATTCTCATTTTACTTAAAAATAAAAGCTACTTCCGGTCAAACAGGACGGAAGACCTACTCGTTGCTTTGCAACGAGCTTTGCTCTAGTTCTTATTATTCTTTTTTTTGTTTTCTTCCTAGACGCCAACTTTGAGGCCTCATATCTCACTCATTTCTCAATGGATTTTGCTCAAATTTTCAGACATTATAGACAATAATTAACTCTTTCAGAATGCTGTCTAAAATTTCAAAAATTCACTTCCGGTTTTGAGTTATTTCCCTTTAAACGAAAAATTATAGGCTTTCATTTCCAGACAAAGGCTCAGATACCACTAGAGCTGGAGCAGAAATTTTACTGGTTTTAGATAACAGAAGGATTGAAGTTGTGCACATCGGTTTTTGTTTTTCGATTTCTGTATTCAAAATGGCACTATATAGGGGTCAAAAAATAGAACGCCTAAAAGAGCGAAAATTTACACATATTTTCCTTTTTATGTTGAAAACTAAAAATATTTTGTTAAGACATGTTGAATAAAAGTTGTGCATAATTGCAAGGGCTTTCATATAATACTATTCAAAAGGGGCTGGCCCCTATGATTAAGGATTTAGGGAGCTTGAAAGTTTTTGCTTTATAACTCAAAAACGGTAAATATTTCGATCTGGATTATACGAACAAAATTGTTCTTTGACACCTTTTTGATCTGATGAGAATGTTTATTTGTTCGAATATACCGGGGATATTGCGTAACACGAAGTAGAAAGCAGGCCAGGAAAACAGATAGCGTTTTTCAATCGGAAAGAAAATCAGACCTCTTCGTGTGTATAATGTTCACAAACTTCCTATCAATAATATACCCTATGGTATTTAATGTTAAATTTCTACTAAAAGGTCTTTATACATGCTTTACGGTTCATTATTAAATTATTTATATAACAATTAGTTTTTCTTTTTTATGTATTATTAATTAGTTTTATAGTGAACACGTCTTCATCGGAATATATTAAATCTATCTTTCTACGTTAAATATAATTATAAGTAATTTTAAGCTTTATTAATCGAATAATTCACGATCATTTAGTTGATCTCCACGTTCGCCAGCCTAGATGTTTGTAACAGTTGCGTAATCAAACGCGCCAATCCCACGCTCCGATCGGGGTCACTTGTGTACCAGCCACCTGTTGTCGTAAACAAAGCAAGTGTCTGTGATCGTGTTTAAAATCCATTGTGTACAAAGACCTATCAATTAATAGAAAATTGTGTTTTTAATTAATCGAATCAATAAGAATACATCACCGATCTTACATTAAATCGCAGTTCCTAACACTGGTGCATAAAATCATTTTGAATTTTGATAACTTTCTTTGGCCTGTTCACGCAAAATTATTTCTCTATTCCGTGTTAATGTATTTTATCAAAATTGTAATTGAAAAGGGGCTTCGGCAAATAATTATAATTAGTGAAGGAAGTCTTGAGATAGGTAATGTACTATATGTGCGTTTTATTTTTACCATCACTCTTTTGTTTCTCCATTATTTTTTTAACGTGCGTGGTCACAGAGAGCCGCTGGCATGTCAAATTTTTAAAACATCGTGTACTCCAACAGTGGAAATTGGCTTTGAAATCATGTCGCCTTTTTCATATTACTGAATGACGGGTATTTTTTTTTTTTAGGTTTATAAATCCGTACAATTTAAACGCGTAAAATTTAACATAATTTATAAAACGGCTCGTATAATTTTTTACACGGTATGTGTAAAAGTAATGCTTATTGCTACTAAGCTCATTCCATGGAGGCTATATAATTAGTATACTGTTAGTATTTTGAACACTTTTAAGCCAATCATCAATTGGGATCATACAGGTAAATCTCAATTAACTTGTATATAAATTAAACAAACATTATCAATTAATTTATAAGTTAGACCTACATGGTTACTCTTTTTTAGTTTTTTTTAGAGACGCATAACTTCTGATAATGACTTAATAATTACAGCTCTTCCAATTAAATGTATACCCGTGTTTTCAATCTTGGACATTTTCTTCTGCTTCATATGCTTTGAATAAAACTTCGACCTCTTAATACGCTGTACTTAATTAAATACTTTCACTTCAATTATGTTAGTTTGAGTTGTCTCTCTTTGTTTTCGGTAAATATACCAGACATGCACGTGTGCCTAGCTATGTTTATATAAAAAAAAAACATGAATCAAAGAAAGGCACATTGCTCATGTATATAAAGGTTATTTTTAAAAAATTATACCATGCGCGGATCTAGAGGGAGGGTCGGGGGCTGAGGGGTCAGGACCCCCCCCCCCCCCCTTGGAATTTACCAGGTTAAAAATGTACATACTTAAACAAGGAAAAAATTACCATGGACCCCCTTGGAAAACGCAGACCCCCCTGGACTATATGTGTAAAATGGGTATGAAAAGTTAAAGATTTGAGGCAAAAGAAGAAAAGAAGTCACTACCCCCCCCCCCCCCCCCCCTTACGAAATAGGTTTTTAACGTTAGGGGGAGTGTTACTTTACGTTTTTTTTTTTTTTTTTTTTTTTTTTTGCTTGTCAAGAAATTTCCGGGATATGATTTTTTTTTTGACTGAGGTGGACCCCCACTGGAAAAAATTTCTGGATCTGCGCCTGTATACAATTCATAATGTAATTTGTTTGCATTGTTTATATTGTTATATCAAATTAACATGTGTTTAATAACTCTCTCACTCTCTCTTTCTCTCTCTCTCTTACAAGTTACATAGGGTTTTTGGACACGTTATTTGTACACGTAAATGCATTCAATGTGATCTGGAATTTTACGTCTGATGTTTTGAATTTTTACGGACATATTCAATTCGTAAAAGATCACCGTATAAAAATTCAAATCACCTTTTTTGACCCAAATTCGTAAAAATATACAGCAGTAAAAATTACCCATTATATGGTATTTTATTTCACTTTATCTCATAGTTTGTTTTAATCAATCGTATTTGCTTTTTACACTTTATTAATTTCAAGTTTTATGCCTGATGAAATCAGGTGCTTTGATCCTTTTCATGCCAGCACCTACCCCGACACAAGACATTGATTTATCCGGTCTCATCCATAGGATCGGTCTCCACGCATCATTTCACAAGTCTCCAAATTTCAAATAAAACATTCTCATTGAAACTTTGATGCTTCCACATGAAAATGGCCGGGCATATATTGTTTGTCATGTACGTCTTCCATTTTCCGTCTGTCCCTCTTCCCCGCTTTGCGTTTACCTCAGTTTAAAGCTCAATTTCAAAGAAACTATTCAATTTTTTTTATATTAAACGTCCTATGCTGATAAACATTGATGAGAGCTATTTTCCTGCATCAACATATTTTAACTTTGACCTTTCCTTTGAACTTAATATCACCTTTTATGAATTCTGTCTAAAGAGACCATTCAAGATAGTATCATCAAACTTCATGTGCCGATATGTACTGATATATGCTGATACATACTGTAGGCTAGCTACACGTTTGTAACTGCATCAACATTTTGTTTTACCTTTCCTTTGACCTTAACCTAACTTTTCTCAGGTTAGTGTTTAACTCAGAAACATACCATTCAAGACTATAAGTATTCTTTTACTTCTTTTTTACTTTGACCTCTTTTTTTTTTTACTTTGACCTCTCCTTTCACCTTGATCTTACCTTACCTAATTCATTGAGTATTAAGCTCAGTTTTGAAGAAAGCATTTATATTTTTACTCACCTTCATATGCTGATACACTGTACACACTTATGAGAGCTATCCAAACCTTAGTGTATAACAGATGCTCTAACTACTGTGCCAAACGGGCGACCTTCAGTTTTGAAGAATCCATTCAAGACATTTTTATCAAACTTTAGTATACTGATACAGTTTGATCTTGCACTTTCCTGTGACCTTGCACATGACCTCACTTGTCTTTAATTTGCAATTTGCATAGTATTAAAGAAACCATTTGAGATATTTTATTGTAAGCTTATGCCTATATGCATTATCTGAACGGAATTTCCATTTTTAAGATTTCAATTTTTAAGACACTATTCAAGATATTCTCAACAAACGTCATACACTCGTATTTCTAAATAAATCATCATGTAAATCATAGTTTTGAACCTAATAAATTCTTTCGATTCGATATATGCTCAATAAAAATTTGACTGAACATATCCAGTCTTTTGGACGAGTCATTGTTACTGACAGAGAAATTTTAAATTCTCAACCGTATTTGTACCAGTGAAACATTGCTCATATAATGCAGGGTGGGGCATGACCTTGTCTCAAGTTCTAGATCACTTAAGATAAGATGTTTTGGTTGGAGATGAACTAAAAGAATATCTAAAAAAAACATACGTGAACTTTTCCACTCGGTAACACGCAGAGTATGTATTTTTATAACAGAGTTTGTCTTTGCTTGTTGCAAGGTCATTTAGAAAGTTCAAGGTCATGCACATAACATTCTTTTACAGTCTTTTTCCTGGCGAAACATTGTAAGTTACTTCCTCAACAAGCCTTTGGGTTGCTTACTTTAATAATTTTAGAATGGTTTGACCTAGACTCAAGGTTACGTCTTCCCTTCCGTAGCTCCAACGGAAGACCTATTCGTTGCTTTGCAACGAGCTCGGCTCTAGTTTAAATAGTTATTGAATTATTAGCATATACATGTATATATTCCTCAACCGCATCCAAAAAAATCCATTAGCTTTTACTTTCTAACTTCTAAATTCACTTGATTTTCAACATTTTAGTACATTTACACTTAGAAGACAGACAAAAGCTCACTGAAATACATATACATCAAAAGGTTTGCATAAAGGCAGAATGATATCAAATATTGATTCATTTCATATACATACCTTTTTGGACTCCAATACTTGCTTCAGTATAACCATCTGAAAGCACTGTAAGCAGTTTTTTTGTAATTATTTACTGACTCGATTTATCTTATTTTTCTTTTAAGAATACAAAATCTAAAATTCTAAGTAAAAGTATATTGACTTACATAACCTGCATTCAGAATCATTCAGTGGAGAATATCCAGGCTTACAGGCACAAGTATTGTTTTCACAAACAGAGCCGGATATCCCAGAACACTGTTCATTTAAGAGGCATGTGTCGTTCAGATTCAAGTTTCCTAATAAGTGAGGACATTTTTTTTTATTCATAATACCTTAAAATACATGGCTTGATTGATTAAAAAATCCAACTTGTATTATGTATTATCCCCTGCTAGAGATAATATGACATTTCAATAGTCAAAAGTGGGTAAAATGAATTCCTAGAACAAAATTCACACTTAAATCTGCACGTTTTCCATACAAACAGTTGGACATCAATGCTCATCAAAGGTTTAAAATACATCAAATTCCACTTACTGTCGAAGCATTATAGGGATTTCAGGAAGAGTTCAAATGTCACGGGGTACATCAACACTTTCGGATGTATAATAATCGTTCACAAAGTATCCTCTAGTCGATGGGAAAATTAAACACATGGCTAATCTTTTTTAATTTGCATTTTTGGGGGGTATAATTCGCTGGAAAGCACATGCTTTTCGAAAGAAACATCGAATCCGGATCAAGTTTATGGAGATTGAATAGCATGGCGACAAGGCTAGGGTTTTTATATTAATTTTTCATTTTCTAAATTCATCATTATTTTAATAAGTTTGTAAAGATATTTTTTTTATTTAATGAGTAGATATTGAATAAATTGACAAACAGTTCCTGTTTAAATAAAAGATACATTTTAGCGACTCTCGTCGCTTCGATTTGATACAATGTCCATTCCGTCCACAAAATTGCATGCAGTGTAATACCGGGTGATTTACTTGTGCAAAGTGATTTTGTTAAGGGGACAAAATCAGATCATTTCGGACCAAAATGGCATTTCAACTTATGCACCCATGTTGTAATGTCGAAGAGAACCCCTTTAAGTTTCCATTACAAAAAAAGTTTGGAAATCTTTTTAATAAAATAACAAAGGTAAAAGTATATATAAGTTAAGAAATTTAAACCTACAGTGTACAAAGAAAGCACGTGGGTACATTAAGGAAGCATATATCATTTCTCGGGAAAATGTCAACATGTTTGTTTTTCCACTGTTACCTCCCTTTTTCAGAAAATTAAGTTTGATAATTTACAAAATAATTGTAATAAAGAAATTATATAAACGACATTTATGTTTATGAGTATGCAAAAGGTTTCAAATCGATGCGACAGACAAACTATTGTCGTCGAACAAGTTGAAGCTAACAGTGGTCAGAGTCCCTATGATCTGACATTCACCAATTCTATTATTTAAACAATACAATTTCTGCCTTGAATAATAATTGCAGCCCGGAGGACCAGGCTGCTCTATACATATAAGTTTAAGTGTTGGTGTATGGGGATTGGGGTGGGAGTAGTTATTTAAAATTAAAAGTTTTCTAAACATTAAAAAGATAGTTAATCAGAATGTTATTTCCGTTTATGAATTACGAGATACATATTTACTTTCATAAAGTGAATCTGTAAAAATATATACGATTTTCATATTTAATATATATAGTTGCTTATCATTTACAGTGCAGGGAACTAATTTTGTTACATAAACCAGCATCAGGATCAGCATAAGTAGGATCAGGATAGAGCTAGCATCAGCATGAGCATTTAAAAAACAGCATTACTTGGATCAGCATCAGCAAGCAAAGAATAGAACTAGCATTGACCTATTTTAAAACCAGCATTGACCGACTTAAAATCAGGATTATCCTGGTTCACTAAAACTACTAAAATTTTCACAAAACGAAACCGCAAAAAAACATCCCTATTTCAGTCGGAAATAAATACAAAGAATGTATTTCTTGCTGACAAATTGGCTAATATAATCCTAACATTATTATTAAATTAATTCAATAGCAATAACCCCGTGATATTTTCAAATCTGAATCAGCTGATCACCAAACGCTATGGAGTCTACTGGTGAGGCCACGCCACGGATGATGATATTGAGATCGGTGATAAAGAGGTAAGTAGTTACGCTTGCGCATGAAAAATCAGTTAAACAATATAATAAAAGTATGATATTGTGAGTATGACTAATTACTACAAAATTCCGTTGGGTTTTATGGGCATAAACATGCTACACCAACTCTCTAACAACCCACATAACTATGTATTGCTTTCGCCTTTGTTAATTATTTTTTCCCGGTAATAAGTCTTTAAATATTTCAAAATTTATAATGGATCATAATTCATATGTTTTAATATCCCTGCCATCTTATTTTTCTTTGATTATTCTTTATCAAGTTACGCCATTTAGAGAGAGAATGAAACAATGTACGATTTACTGATTGTCGTAATTAATTAGCATAATTAATTCGTTCAATTATGTAAATCGCACTTCACCCGAGTATACCCGATATACCGGACGCATTTCATAGCTGTCCGGATTTCTTTCTTTATTAGTGTTCTTAAAAATTTCCAATTCAACATGTAATTAAGTATGTAAATATCTAGTGTTTAGTAGTTTAGTAGTAGTGCTAGTTGTTTTTGTTTCTATTTTTCCTTTGTTCTTATGACTTTTTTCTTTGTCCTGAGGAAGGGACAGGACGTCCCGAAAATTTGACAATTTTTATTGCTCGTGTCGTTGGTCATTTATAGTGCTTTATATAAATTTCCATCCGTGACCTTGTATCTACTTGGTAGATCCGACATTTAGGATATACAGTGTTGTTGGTTTTTTAGTTTTTTAGTGCTTTATATATCTATATCTATATATATATATATATATATATATATATATATATATATATATATATATATATATATATATATATATATATATATATATATATATATATATATATATATATATATATATATATATATATATATATATATATATATATATATATATATATAATTATTTGTTTTTTTTCCCAAATTAAAATTGTGAGATACTAAAAAAAATAATGTTAAGGTGATCAATCATCAATGAATAAATCTCGTCCTCTTTGTGCTTTTATAGAAATGGAGTGCTATGAACAGTCCACAGTTTGTTGCTTCATCACCGCACACAAGAATCTAGATCTAATTCATTCATATGAAGACGCCAACACGTTCCGGTGAAGGGCTGCATATTTCAACCTGTACTCAACGCTAAAGCCTTTGAAAAGTGAGAGATCGTTTTCGTACCAACACCTACATGAACTGCGACACTGGAACTCGGTTTTTATGGTTTCATTGAAAGGACCGGACAATTTACATGCAGTGATGTCGGAGACAGATGATTCAAAGAAAATTCTGCTTTTTTAAAAAAGACAAGTGTTCTTCATTCATAAAAGTAGAGGACAGGGACAGTAGAGGACATGAACAGTATGATGTAATGGTGGATTTATAACTTACAATAAAAAAAAATTCTAGAAAGTGAATTCGTTGAAAGAAACTACTGGTGATAAAGAAAAAAATTTCACTTGTTCATGCAAACACCATGATTCTATTTATCTATTTATTTGACTTTGTTGACATAATATAATACAAGTGAAAAAGAGTGAATATGGGACATGAATTGTAAAACTATTAATCTAATAATTCCATGATTACACTATTTCACAAAATTCTAAAAGATGTTATGGGACACTTTGTAATTTCATTTATATTATAATTTCATTGGTTAACTTGGCACTGACTATAAATAAATTGTAATTTTTAGACACTGGAAATTTTGTTTTTATTGTTTCCATGAAGTTAAAATTTTACGTGTACTTTGTTGTTCTACAACAAGCATAAAATAATGTTCATTTTGTCCCCTTCTTCAAATAGATTGTGCCTTAATACAGTACTATTAGCTTCTAAGGAGAGGTAAAAGAAAAATTCGGTAAATATGATATATTAAGATTTTGCTAAATTTTCAGAAAATGAACATTTTACCAAGGCGGTTATTTAAGACAGAGCAGAAAAACTGATAGAAAATGTTACTGTAAATTTCATGTTAAGTTTTCACTTTTAAAATTGCGAGATTTGTTTTGTACGGTAATTTAAAATTAACAGTTTCAATGTCACATGTATATCATCAAGATGAAAAGATATCTGGCTAGCAGCAAACTCTTAATCTATGGTACACTAGAGCACATATAAATATTGGATGATTTAAACTACTGGCTTAAACAATTAGGAAAATGTATTTATTACACTGTCTAGTATCATGATATAAGGGAAGAAATATCTACACAGTAAAGCATGGTTATAACGAACGCGCTATAATGAATTCATGCTGATGGTGGAGTTATTTTCATTCCCTGTACTGGTTTTAAAATCCTATGGATAGTGAACATAATTTTAAAATGTCAAAAAGTGCGTTTCCCAGGCATTTAAAATGCTACAAGCTTATTTTTCTGTTATTTAAATGATTTACTTCAGTCTTAAATACCCTACATCACAAAGTGTTACCCCCACATTCAGTCTCATTGCAGATTTATAAATATGGAATTTTCTAATTAAAGTTTTAAATGAATTAAATCCGAATAAAAAAAATGTTTTCATTTAAATTCAAAATATTAAGAACTAAATGAATTGCGACACACATGCATTACTATTTTTGTCATTACAATTCATTAATCTTGGCACATCAGTGAAAATGTTACCAGTCATCAATAAGTGTTTGATATTCTTTTTCAAGTGATCTAAAAAAAATCTATTTTTAGAGTATTCATGAAAATGCAATTAATAAATTTGAATTTATTTAATTTATTAAATTTAAATTTTAAAAATTAGTTGTATGAATGCTACATTCAGCTTCAATAAAAACATTACATGTAACCGAAATATTGCCTATTTACATGGAATGTTGGTGTCCTCAAAAATAAAATATTAGGGGCAGTATTTTTTTTTAAATGTATATTAAAAATACAACTTGGACAGAATATCATATATCATATAAACATGTATCTTTCTATTAGTACATTATACTTAAAACAAACATCACACTACTGTAAAATATATTGTTTCATTTATTTTATAAAATCAATTTATATATGAACAATCATCATGAACAGTTGTAAGATTGTACGAAAGAGCAGGGATGCATTTCTACATACATATATCTCATATCTAATTACTGTGAAATCACTAATTTTCGTGGTATGAAGAGACCCATTTCACGAAAAATAATTTTTTATATGCACAACCACTAAAACGTACTTCATCCACGAAATCAAATCCCCACGAACCAACATTTTTTCCTCAAACGAAAATTTGACCCTACGAAAATATGTGATTTTACAGTATGTACAATACACAAATCACTTGAAATCCACTTTAAACTTTAAATTCTGTCCATTTCATTTTAGATCTAAGTGGGAGATAACTTTAAAATGTATATATGTATGTCATCAATGGATTTGGCGCACATCATCACAATGGTTTTAATGCCACTGTCTGATTAATAGAAGTTCCTGGCTTAAATTTTCACTATAATAATTTTAACAGATAGAATTTCATCAGCTGGATTTAAGTCCAAAGAGAAGACCAGCATAATTTAATTCTGGAAGAATTTCTGCTTTGTTTACTCTGTCATGGGCCTGAAAAATATAAAAAATTAATTAGGTTAATTTCAAAAAATGCCAAATATAAAAAAACAATGCTATAAATACAGTTTTAACTACAGTTGTTAACTTTATACATTGAGTAATGTGTACATCACACAAATATACAAAATACAAACTTGAGGATGAAATTATTTAATTTTACACATTTACAGCAATTAATTTTTCTTTTTACAGGTAAATGAAAATAAATTGTCACTATCTACTAAAACTTTAAAGTACTTATAAATTATGCTATGAAAAAGGGGCACAATGACAATAAGTAACTTTACAAATTGAACATAATTTGGTTTTTAATATCAAAGTAATGATCACAGTTTCA